GGCCTCGTTGTAGGTTGTGTACTGAGGGTGGCTGTAGGGGTTCCCTGAGAACTCGCTCCCTGGAAGAAACCAAAGAAGGTGTGAAATACAGTTAGGAATGAAGATTTATGTCTGCTATTCCATCAAGACAGTGTACATGCTGAATCTGTATGCCGGCAGGAAAACTGGTGTATGTAGCTTCCTTACCCAGCTGGGACTGTGCCCTTCAGGACACTGTAGTGTTTGTTCAGCTCAATGTTGCTTGCCCATACAGTTAAAAATCTTAAGACTGACCTCTTCAGAATCAAGAAATTAGTTTAAAATAATGAAGTTCAATAATACAAATAAATAATTAAACTGGTTTATTTTTCATTGCTTTCTGACTTCGGATTCTCGGGTTGAAGTAGGATTGCATATGCAAGCTTTTTCTGCAATTAACAATCAGCTTTCTTTTAAATAAAATCTAAGGTTCTCCAGTAGTGTTAAGACAGCAGGCATGGGAGTTTGATGGGACAAACTCACAATAAACTGATTGGAACTAGTAGTGCTGTTCATGGCAATATGTATTGCTAAGTTTTGTTCATAGGATACTGAGGATGACGACGTATTTGTGGAGAAGAGTATCATTTGGTTTTGGAAATGTTCTGAGAGTAGCATGGGCTTAAATATAAAACAAAATGGAAAACATGAATCGCTTTTTCTTTCTTGCTCTGTATGATGGTGTTAGTCAGAAAAGTGATTCATATATGATTAACCCCACCTTTATGCTTAGTTAGTGAGTTACAGAGAAAATTTGCTGTATTCCAATTTCAGCAAATAATTTTCTAATGATTAGCGCTTTAAGTACTATTCTGAATCTGAAAGACAAGGTGGGCTACAGCTCTCTTTTTCACATTCAGTAAAATGGGCCCAAACCAAAATACTTGTGAGCTTTGTGATCTAGTAAGACTCTGACCTAAGATTTCAATGTTGTAGAGTCTTCTTAAATATTCAGTTTTATTGTGCATAAGGAGCTGAGTCTCCTTGTTTTATAGAAGGCCGTGCAGGGCTAAGGGAATTATATTTGGTAACTGAGGAGGTATGATGCTGCATTCAAAATAAATAAATCTCCCAAAACTTAAAAATGTATGAATCTGTTAAGTAAAAACATGCATTATCTGGTCATAACCTCAATTTAACGCAGTATCAACAGGCTGGGGACAGTTAGTGCCATCTGAAAAGCATTATACGCTTGAAAGAGAGTGAAAGAACAGCGTGACTGTTAGCTTCTGGTCTGCCCTGAGGCAGGGATGGAGTTGTTACAGCAGAAGTGTTTGGAAAGCACCTGAAGTTCCTGCTAGATACCATGGAATAGGGAA